AAAGCTTTCCCACATTGCTTACATACATAAGGTTTCACGCCACTGTGAACTCTTTCATGTATTTGGGAATATATGTGTGTGGTGAAAGCTTTTCCACATTGCTTACATACATAGGGTTTCTCCCCAGTATGAATTCTTTCATGTCTTTGACAACATCTACGTGTGCTGAAAGCTTTCCCACACTGCTTACATTCATAGGGTTTCTCCCCAGTGTGAACTCTTTCATGTGTTCGACAATGACTGCTTGTGCTGAAAGCTTTCCCACACTGCTTACATACATAAGGTTTCTCCCCAGTGTGAAATCTTTCATGTGTTTTGCAAGTACCATATGAGCTGAATGCTTTCCCACATTGCTTACATACATAGGGTTTTTCTCCAGTGTGAACTCTTTCGTGAGTTTGACAAGCACTTTTTGTGGTAAAACCATTCCCACATTGGTTACATATGTAAGGTTTCTCCCCATTGTGAACTCTTTCATGTCTTTGACAACATCTATAGGTGCTGAAAGCTTTCCCACATTGCTTACATACATAGGGTTTTTCCCCACTGTGAAATCTTTCATGTGTTCTACAAGCACTCTTTGTGCTGAAAGCTTTCCCACATTGCTTACATGCATAGGGTTTGTCTCCAGTGTGAACTCTTTCATGTCTTTGACAACATCTACGTGTGGTAAAAGCTTTCCCACATTGCTTACATGGATATGGTTTCTCCCCACTGTGAGCTTTTTCATGTCTTTGACAAGCACTTTTTGTGCTGAAAGCTTTGCCACATTGCTTACATTCATAGGGTTTGTATCCAGTGTGAGCTCTTTCATGTATTTGAACATATCCATATGTGCTGAAAGTTTTCCCACATTGCTTACATTCATATGCTTTCTCCCCACTGTGAAATCTTTCATGTGAATAGCATGTACGATATGAGCTGAAAGCTTTGCCACATTGCTTACACACATAGGGCTTCTCCCCAGTGTGAACTCTTTCATGTATTCGACAATAACCACTTGTGGTGAACGCTTTTCCACACTGCTTACAAACATAGGGTTTCTCCCCACTGTGAACTCTTTCATGTCTTTGACAATATATATGTGCAGTGAAAGCTTTCCCACATTGCTTACATACATAGGGTTTGTCCCCAGTGTGAGCTCGTTCATGTATTTGACAAAATCTACGTGTGGTAAAAGCTTTCCCACACTGCTTACACACACAGGCTTTTCCCCCAGTATGAATACTTTCATGTGTTTGACAAGCACCACGTGTGCTGAAAGCTTTTCCACACTGCTTACATTTATAAGGTTTATCCCCAGTGTGACCTTTTTCATGTGTTCGACAATTGCTACTTGTGCTGAAAGCTTTCCCACATTGCTTACAAACATAGGGTTTCTCCCCAGTGTGAAGTCTTTCATGTATTTGAACATATCCATATGTGCTGAAAGCTTTCCCACACTGCTTACATACATATGGTTTCTCTCCACTGTGATTTCTTTCATGGATCTGAACATATTTATATGTTCTGAAAGCTTTGCCACATTGTTTACAGACATAGGGTTTCCCCTCA